TGCAAACCACTCCCTTCTTCTTTGACTTCCTAAAGCTCTCCAAGCTCTCATTTGCAATGAGAATCTGATCGGTGATCTGTCTTCCCGCCACAAAAGCACCTTGGTTGGGTGCAATAATAGAGGGGAGCACCTTCTTTATCCTGAGAAACAGCACATTTGCAATGATTTTGTACAAACTAGTCACCAGACTAATAGGTCTAAAATCCTTAGGTTGAGAAACATCTTTCTTTTTTGGGACTAAGGCAATGAAAGTTGAGTTCAAGCCCGGGTTTATTACACCCCTCCTGTGGAACTCCTCAAAAACCGATCTAAGATCATTCTCCAAAATATCCCAACAATCCTGGTAAAAGGCCATTGTGAACCCATCTGGACTTGGAGCTTTTGTCCTATCCATAAAGAATACTACTTCCTTTACCTCCTCCATATCAAACCTTTTTTCTAACCACTCTCTCTTCTCTGCACTTAGAGTCGGCCTATCCAAACCCTCCAACCACACTCTCTCATTCATAGGCCTTCTAAAAATAGATTTGAAGTGGTTTACTAGAGCCTCTGCAATTTCAGCCGGGTGGGACAAAATTGCTCCATCAACTTCTAAATTAGAGATGAAATTCTTCTTTCTCCTTCCATTTGCCACTAAATGGAAAAACCTTGTGTTTTTGTCTCCCTCCTTTAGCCACTTACACCTGGAATTTTACCTCCAACTGATTTCCTCCTTAACCAGGATGTCCTCCATCTGCTTCCTCAAAACCCATCTCAACTTCCTTTCTTCCTCTCCAAAGGGGCCTCTCTCTTCCTTCAGGTCCAAATCCTCGATTTGCTCCACTAGAACTTGTTTTCTCTCTTCTAATCTTCCAAACTCCAGCCTATTCCACTCTTTTAATTGAGATTTTAAGTATCGGAGTTTCTTATGGAACCTCATTCCCTCCCAATCAACTACCGGATTAGCTTGCTCCCACCACTCTCTAATCTTCTCAATGAAACCCGGATGAGTCAACCACATATTTTCAAACTTGAAAGGGGTAGGACCCTACTCCTCTTATTTCCTCCTTGACCAACACTATAGGCCAGTGGTCTAAAGTAAGTCTAGGGAGAGCCCTAGAAATAATATTGCCCCAATGTTCCTTCCAATCTGTTGAGAACAAAAATYTGTCCAACTTAGAGCAAATTGWCCKWGATTGAAGGTTGGACCAAGTGAAGTTATTATTTAGGAAAGGATGTTCTTTGAGTTCAAAAGAGTCCACAAATTGGTTGAACTTCCTCATACTTGTTGTCACTCTCTGTCT